GGCAGGAGGGAAGCAGCACGGCAGCCACACCGGGCACGGCGCCGCGGTCCAGCCCGCGGTGAGTCGCACGATCGCCGTGCAGAAACAAAGTGAGCAAAAAAGAAGACTTATGGAAGAGCAAAAACAATTAAAACGGAAGGCGATGCAGGCAGACAAATGCGGCTGGCCACGCACGCCAACACCGCGCCGCGTGCATTTCCGCCTCCAGAAAACAAAACAAAAGGAAAACAAAAAGATATGTGTTCGCTCCACCCCAATACGCCCCCCTCATTGTCCACGCAGCGCCCACTTTTCATTGGCGGCACCTCAGCGTGCCGTCGCCCCGCCCACCCGCCGCCTCCTCTGCGCGGCGCACGAAGAACCGTCCGCTCTGCGCGTCTCTGGGCGGGAGCAGCCGACAGCCGCGGGTGCCGCCCGCCCCTCCGTGGGGAGAGTGGGCGAAGCAAAGCAAAGAAAAAAAAGTATTTAAAAAAGAAAAAAGAAGAGAATTATTCCCGGCGTTCAACCCAACGGGAGAACTCGCACATGACCGGGAAGCAAAGACGATCCGCAGCGGATCAGCAATTAACTTAGAGGGGGACGCACATGCGTTCCCTCTGCGTGCCGCGGCCCAGCGACGCCACCGCTGCTCAGCACAGCGCGGAGAGGCCCCACAGCGCAAGCAGAAGCAGCGAGAGCACCGCAGACACACGCCCACGCGCAGTGCCGTCGCCGCCCCCAGCCTCCCTCTGCACTGTGGCCGCAGCCTCCTTTGCAAGTGCGGCGGAGGCGTTGTTTAGGCCCGGCGCCGGTGCACCGCGCGTCACCGAGGCATCCCCCGCAGAACTGACAGCCGCGTCGGTCGTCGCGGGGCCAGTGCCGGCTGCCACTGACGGCTCCTCGGCCACGCCGCCAGTTGCTGCGGCCTTGTCGTGCGCAGAGTTCTTCGGGTCACTGGCGGCGGGTGCGGCGGTGCGAAGCGGCACCTCCTCCGGCGCCGTCACGCTGGCCTCCTCCTTTTCCTTCCTCTCCAGCGCCGCAACCTCACTGGCGTTGAAGCAGCGGTTGTACAGCAAGACGTTCTTCACCGTCACGTGGACCTCTGCGTTTACTTCGCGGTCCCTGTATTTCCCAACGAGGATGTGCGAGACCCTCTCCGGCGACCTCCTCCCCAACAGAGTTTCTTCAGGCCCAAACTCAGACTCAGACAAAGCAACAAAACCAGCAAAGGGAGGTTTCTCCTCCAAACTCCCCACGAGCTGCCCGTCGACGTATGCCGAGCCCGTGCCATTTTCCACCGTGAGCACCACTCGGTATGCCCTCCCCTCCTCCCACGTCATTCTTTGTGCATCCGCTTCTGCTCTGAACTTCGTCCTCCAGCGCCTCTGCTCGTCGTACCACAGCCCCAGATACATTCCAGTCTCCGCTGTCCTCACGCTCAGCAGTGGGGTGGCGGTCGGTGGCGCTTCGTTGATGGTCACCGTCGCCACAAGAGTCACCTCTTCGCCCGCAGAACCGTGCCCTGGGCCACGCCCGTCTCTGCCCACCGGCCACACAATCGATGCAACACGCCCTGCCAGCGCAAAGCCATTGGCAACCTTCTTTGCCTCTCCAGACACCGTGGCGCCCACCCCAAGGTACTCGTCATTCCAGTGGGTATTGTTGCCATTGTTCGACAAGAACCCAACCAGCCCGTCCGTTGGCATAGCACCGACGCAGGCAGCAGCGGGTTCTGCGGCGCCCTTCGCAGCGGGGGTGGCGGCGGAGCTGCAGAGCTTTGCGACTTTGGCGTCCACGTTCTTCCAAGTTTGCAGCACTGACTTGATGCGCTGGAGCTGCTGCGGGAGGCGCGCAACGACAAGAATGTCTGAGCGTTCAACCGGGCCTTTCTTCGCGTAGAGGGCAAACAAATCATCTCTTGTGTACAGCAGCGAGCTGAAGGGGGCGTGGCCCGCCTCAGCAGCAGTAGATATTGGCCCAACATCGTGGGTCCGAGCACCGTCGGAGAGACACAGGTGGAGTACGTGGTGGCGTTTGCCCCCAACACTATGGACTGACATTACCGTGGTGTACAGCAGCACACTCCTGCCCGCGATGGTTGCAGTCATGAGGGCGGCAGAAGGGTCGAGCAGAGGCAATGCGTGTGCGTCGCCCAACAGGCGTGCGAAGGGCCCGGCAGCCTCGTTCCACGTCTTCCCCTCGTCACCGGATTCGAAGACCCTGCGCCGCCACGGAGAAGATCCGGAGGTGGCCATGAAGAGTTTCCCCTCCCACTCGAGAAGCGTGGCAGAGTTACAGTCCTCAGCAACCACAGGCGCCGCAGGAAGCCTCCAGCTGTCCCCATTGTCCTCGGAGCGCATGACGGTGCAGGCAATTGTGTTTGTTCCGTCGGTAGTGAATCCCGCAAGAGGGAAGAGAACCGTTGCGGCCCCAACCGCGACGCCTCTGGACATACTCGCGGGTCCCAGCCTCTCCCATGGCTGCTGCATCTGTGCGGCAAGCATAGAATCCAACAGCCGGGGTTCCCCCCACGAGACTCGCTGCTCCCCCCGCTCGCCCGTGGACCCCTGAACCTCACCAACAATCAACGCAAGGCCCCACCCAGGATCGCTCTGCAAAGAAGACGGTGTAGCCCCTGTTCTTTTTTGCAGAAGCAAATGTATTTTATTGTTCTTCCCCACAGCCTTGGGGCCGAACGGTGATACAAGGTAGCCCTCCGCTTCCGGTCGCTTCGTCACAAGCTGCGTCTCCCACGCTTTTCCTTCCAATGCAGCGTCTTCATTCAACTTTTCATTTGCCCCGTACGCATTGTACTTTGCCCAAATACCAGGAAGCTGGTTGCTGTCACCGTTGCCGTGTGTGCCGACGGCAAGCGCAACCAGCACCCCATTCACTTCAAGAAGGGAGTGGCTGTAGAAAGAGGAGACACTTTTATAATGAGCGCCAC